TCTAAGGATTCAAACCATAGCCCACTACATGAGAATCCACTGACATAACCATTACACCAACTGCTGGTTCTGCCAGGTCCAAGTCTTGAACCACTGTTAGCCACATGGGAGTCCAACACCTAACCACTACACCTCCTGCTGGGCCCTCCAGGAAAAGCTTTAAGTGGAAGGCCTCTAATCCTACCTGGATACCTGGATAGTAATTTTCTGTGGATTTCTCTGCTTGAGTCCAAACCATGCAAAAAACCTTTGAAGATTGGGCTACCGGTAACCCATATGCAGCAGTAAATCCTATAGGATGGATACAGGGGCTATATCAATAATGGTGAAAGCAAATCAAGGACCAGAAATCCCAAGCAGTTTGGTGTTGCTGGAGTGTGAAGTGTAACAGGCGAGGTGGCAGATGAGGCCCGGGAGGAGATAGGTCAGCCTGGGAAGACTTCAGTGTTATAGGAAGAAGCTTAAACTTCCTTCTCTAAGCTCTAGAGTTGCCAGTGTAGGTTTAAGAAGGGGGAATTATGGTCAGACCCAGTAGAGGCGGTTGCAATAGCTTTATACCAAGTGCAGACCTTAGGAGGCATGGAAAGAAACATTTAGGAAATAGAGACAAGTCAACAGATCTTGGCAACTAGCTTTGGGAGCCTGGGAGAAGTGCAGAACCAATTTTATCCTGTTTTCTGGTTGAGACACTGGTGGTATCAACCAAAAAAACTCTTCCTCCCACAGCTTCTTCATCTTGGTTGATGGCAATGTCAGACTCAAAGCCCTGGAGACATTTTGATTCGTCTTTCTTTCATGCTCCACATGTTGTTGGTTCTATACCCAAAATACATAATCTAACTACTAGATTGTCAGAAGTCATGATGCATTTTTGCATAGAAAAATACATCACAATTTTCCTGACAACCCAATATATTACATTACTTCAATCACTAGCATTCTAGTCCAAACCACTACCATTCTTTATTATTATTATTTTTTAATATATAGGGCATATACACTCACTGGAGACAGAGAGAAAGAGAGAAATCACCCCTTGGGGGATGGTCATGCCACGATCCCTTCTCTTCCATCCATTCTCTTCTCAGGATTTTTGGCATGCACACACATGTGCCCAGTGTGTTTTTTTGTTTGTTTGTTTTCAGTTTTATTTATGCATTTATTTATTCATTTTAATTTGACCAGAGAGGGACAGAGAGAGAAAGTGAGAAAGGAAGTTGCCAGGACCAGGACTCAAACCGCAGTCCGCCATGTGGGAGTCCAACGCTCTTAACACCATGCCACCTGCCAGTCCCCCAGTGTGTTTTCCAGACCACTAGGTCTGGGACCCAGATTCTTCAGTCAACCATGTGGGATCCAGTTGCCCTAACCATCATACTAATTGGCTGGCCCTTTTATTATTTTTTTTAAAGTTTCTTTCTTTGGTGCATATGACATAGAGATACCCTTAACATGGTCTTTTTTTTTTTTTTTGGAGAGGTTTTCACCAGACAGACAGAGAGAGACAGAGAGACAGAAAGCGAGAAATCACCCTCCAGAGGGGATGGTCATGCCGCAATCCCTTCTCCTCTATTCTCCTCTCGGGATCTTGGGCACACACGCACACGCGCCCGGCGTGAGTTTTAAGCCACCGGGTCCGGGATGCGAACCGCGGTCGACTACGTGGGAGTCTAGCGACATAGCTATTATGCTAACTGCTGGTTCCCAGCCATGATTTTTCTGACATATGAGACCATGTCTCTCCTCTGCCTAACATAGGGCAATGGTTCTCCATTTCACTCAGTAAACGTCCATAGTGGTTTGGTTCCATTGCTTCTGATCTCATCTCCAGCTACTCTTCCCTTCATTTACCTGCCCAGTTGCTCCTGGATACCTTCCTGTTCTCATTCCATTCAGGGACATGGACTGCATTAGGGCTGTCATAACTGATGGCTATCTAGACCTCTCTGACCCCGAGAGCTGTATTCCTAACTTTCTCACCTTCGAATCTTTGCTTTGATGTCAACTTCAATGAAGCCTACACTGATTTTTTTTTCCTTTTTTTTTTTTTTAGCTAGAGAGCGAGTGCCGCTGTGGGGCAGGGAAAAAAAAGTTGTTAGAGCGAGTGCCGCTGTGGGGCAGGGAAAAAAGTTGAATATTTATTTACTTATAATTATTATTTATTTTGAGGAACCAGCTGATGGTGCAGGGGTTACATCACTGGACTCCCACATGTCTGACTGTGGTTCCAGTCCTGGAACCATGGCTTGAAATTCATGCTGAGCATGTGTGATTACCTGCCCAAGATTTTGCAAGGAGATTACAGAAGGGATTGAGGTGTGGCCATCCTCACTAGGGGGGTGATTAATTTCTCCCTTTCTGTCTTTCTCTCTCTGATGAACTTACGCATCCTATAGCAAAAATCTCTCTCTAGGAGCCGGCAGGTGTCATGGTGGTTAAGGGTGCTGAGCTCCCACATGGCTGACTACAGTTCAAGTCCTGGACCTAGTGGCTTGCTTTCTCACTTTCCCTCTCTCTCACTCTGTCCCTCTCTGGTCAAATTAAAATAAATAAATAAATAAGGTTAAATAAATAATCCTAAAAAAAAAAAAATCTCTCTAAAAAAATAATTATTTATTTCAGGCCAGCAGGTGGCCTAGTGGTTGAGGTGTTGGATTTCCATGCCTTGGGAGTCCTGGACCTGGCAGCTTGAAAATACAACAGGCAAATGTGTGTGCGTGCCCCAAATCCTGAAAGGAAAAGGCACTGCAGTGTAGCCATCCCCCCTGGTGGGGGTGTGTGATTTCTCACTTTCTGTCTCTCTGGTCAACCAACACGCCCTATAGCAAAAAAAAAAAAAACTCTCAAAATTGTTTTCTAACTTAATTCTTTTTTTAAAATTATTTTATTCAACTTCATTTATTTATTTATTTATTTAAATTTGACTAGAGAGAGATAGCATGAGAGAGAGGAAGAGAGAAAGTGAGAAAGCAAGCCACCAGGTTCGAGACTTGAACCACAGTCAGCCATGTGGGAGTCCAGCGTCCTTAACCACCATGCCACCTGCTGGCCCCTCTAACTTAATTCTTATTCATTATTATTATTTAATTTTCTGCAGGGCACATGTGCTTACCAGAGAGAGAGAGAAAGTGAGAAAGTAAAGTGTCAGGTCTGGGGCTCAAACCATAGTCAGCCATGTGGGAGTCCAGAACCTTAAGCACCTTAACGACTACACTGCCTCTCCAACAGAAAGAAGTTTATTTTTTTTATTTTTTTTATTTAACTGTTCAAACAATTTGCCTACAAAATTTTATTTTTTTCCTAAATAGCACTTTTTTTTTTTTTTTAGAAATTTTTTGCATGTGCTCGCCAGAGGAAGAGAGACAGACAGAAAGCAAGAAATCATCCCCTAGGGGAGATGGCCACACAACAATCCCTTCTTCATTCTCCTCTCAGGATTTTGGGCACACACGCACCAGCCAGGCCTGGTGTTAAGTTTTGTGCCTTTTTTTTTTTTTTTTTTTTTTTGACTACAGGGTATGTGCACTTGCTGGAGAGCCATGGCACAATTCTTTCTCCTCTTGGGATGTCAGGCATGCACACTTGTCTGGTTTAAGCTATGTAGTCAGGGACTCTAACTGCAGTCAACTGCGTGGGAGTCTAGTGACGTAACCATTATACCACCTGCTGGCCCTGAGATGTGCATGTTTTATTTTGATTTTTTAAATAATTATTTTATTTAACTTTATTTCTTTTAATTTGACTAGATAGGGAAGGAGGGAGGGAGGGAGGGAGGAGGAGAGAGAGAGAGAGCGAGCAAGCGAGTGAGCGAGCAAGCAAGCTACCAGGTCCAGGACTCGAACTGCAGTCGGCCACGTAGAGGGTCCAGCACCCTCAACCACCATGCCACCTGCCAGTCCCATGAGAGAAATATTTTTGACAGGTTGTCACATTGTGGTTCTTCCTGCTTCAGCTTCCCAGGCAACCAGGATTACAGATGCTACATTGCCAGGTCTGCTAGAAACCCAACCAGGGATCAACCAGGGCCTCCCATGTAGCCTCAGCCATATAGCACAGTGACACCTGCCACCTGTGCCATGATGGCTGGCATATTTGTTTTCTTGATTGCCATCTGCCCCCAGTCCTAATCCCTTTTGCTGTTTTAATTTTTCATAATACTTACCTCCACCTAACATGTCTCCTGAAACTTATTTATTTTATCCACTGTTTAGTGTCTAATAACAGTCTCCACCTCTACCTCAGCAGAATATAAGTTTCCTAAGGACAAGAATGATCAGTTTTGTTCCTGGACGCATGCCCTGGGCAGAATCTGGCATAAAGTAGGTGTTCAATAACTATCTGAATGAATGTACTGAACGAAGGGAAAACGCCAAAATGAGGCTGGGAGGTGGAGGAGCTTGAAGCTGTGAAAGGGATAATAAGACAATATACTAAATTCAGTACAGAATGGTACGGAACCAAGCACACACAGAGGAAATGATCTGCAACGCTATCACAGCACTTAACAATTGTACCCAATTCTGGGACCAGCGGGTGATCTGGTGGTTATAAAGTGCTGGACTCATATGGCTAACCATAGTTCGACTTAGACCGGGTGGCTGACTTTCTTTCTTTCTCTCTCTCGCTGTCTTCCTCTAGTGAATAAATAATAGGTAATTATTTTCTTTAAAAAAAAAATCGTACCCAATTCTAATGAAACTGGTTACTACTCACTCAGCCCTGTTCCTTGGCGGTCCCTACGCAACGCGAAACGAATTTTAATTATTTCTGAATCATTTGCGTCCACAGAAGTGCCTGGCACGCACATACTAAGTAATCAAAAGAGGTTGATGGGTAAACTAACCAGTCAATGTCCTCAACTATAAATATTTTCGAGCTCGCAGGGAGGAGACTCCGTCCTCCTTTTATTTCTTCAAACACTTCCCGTCACCGCTCACTCGGCAGCGAGGGATTGAGCCGATGTCCTGGACTCATTACGTCATAAAACAGCGTCCTGGGAAAGGAGCCGGATTTAACAAAGTCTCGGTCACGTGACCAGAGTGGGCGGAGCTCCTAAGGTCATATCCCAGTGTTCTTTGGACGTACTTCCTTTCTGTCTTTTTCCGGCGTTCAAGATGTCGAAGCGAGGTGAGGCTTTAGGCTTTAAGAGTATCCTCCGCCATCTGTCGCGCGGCGGCTTTCGGCCTCGCCGGGAGTGGCATCCCTGGGCAACTGGGAGTTGAGCTGGCGGGATCCCCACGCCATTTTAGACCGAGTCGAGCGAGGTCACTCCGCGAATATCTGATGTGGTTGGAGATCGGCCTGTGCGGTCTCCCACCTTGCAGAAGGAACTGCTTGTTGTAAAAGTTGGAGTCGTTCAAGCTCCTTAGTGTCGACATACAGATGGTAATAGTGAGGCGTCAGCTGTTTTCCGTGAGGACCGGGTGGCGCGCAGAGAGGGTTTAAGTGGAATTCTAGAGGAAAAGAAATGTGTGGTCTTCCGAAGCACGTTCGACGAGCTTACGGGTTGAGAGTGTTGAGGAGAACCCCGAGTCGTGTCTAGACAGTGCTTTCTCAATCCCGTTTACCTTTTCTTTCTACCCGCAGGACGTGGCGGGTCCTCCGGGGCAAAGTTCCGGATTTCCCTGGGTCTTCCAGTAGGCGCTGTGATCAACTGTGCTGACAATACAGGTGAAGCCTTTGACTGCTGTCTGCTACACTCCCCTTTTTAAAAGCACTCAGTGGGCCTTTGCAAATGACCCACTGAGCCGTCAAGAAAGGGCAGAGTAAAAACACCACTTTTGGGTGAAGTGGCAGCGTGTTGTGTTGTTTTGCTTCAATCCGTGGTGTGACAAGGTGTTCTACCTTGGCATTTAGCTGGCCAGTGTGCAGAGGGAGACGCTTTGGAAATGTTTAGAAAATGTTGCATCCCTGGAATGGCTTAGTAAGTTCTCGCCCCCCAAAAATGTGGTTTTGATTTTCATCCTTACATAGGAGCCAAAAATCTGTATATCATCTCTGTGAAGGGGATCAAGGGACGGCTGAACAGGCTTCCTGCTGCTGGCGTGGGTGACATGGTGATGGCCACGGTCAAGAAAGGCAAACCAGAGCTCAGGAAGAAAGGTGAGTGGACATCAAGTCCTCCTTTTCATATGTTGGGTAACTGAGGGACTTAATCCCCATATTGGGTATTGGGACAATAATTTTACATTTCTTCAAGGCCTTTGAAAGCTTGCTGTCTTTAGAGAGACAGTGTGAGTGTGACATACGTATCTGAAAACTGAGGTTCTGCTGTCTTAGGACTCATCTTGTCACTTGCTACATTCTTGGTTGGCTTCTAGTGTAAGCTGAGGCCACTTCCCCAGCTCAGTTCATCAGACACTTGTGGACTGTACCTGTATCCGTAGAAGTGAAACCCCTGCCTATCCTGGAATTTACTGGCCACATTTGCTGGATGCTGGACTCCTTTCGATTCTTGAATTCCTGCTCCAACCTTGGCTTCTTCCAGCCTCAGGTCCTTTGTCCTTGTTGTGCTCTTGCTGGGATACTCTAAGCCACTCATCTTCAGCTTCCGTGATTACTGACGCTTCTTCCTCTGTCCAGGTGGAAATTTGTGGCATTTAGAGTCGTCCCTGCTTAAAGCTCCGTGAAAGGCAGTCTTCAGTTTATTGCTTATTTTTGGGCCAGATACATACATTAGTATGTATGTATGTACATGTATATGTATATCATATGTAGTGAACATAGTATATGTTTTGATGGGTGGCTTAGAGCTAGACCAGCTGAGATCACGGCTTTTTTAAAAAAAAAAATTACTTATTCATTCATTTATTATTATTATTATTATTTTATTTGAACAGAGGGAGGCAGAGAGAGAGTGAGAAAGCAAGCCACCAGGTCTATGACTTGAACTGTGGTCAGCCATGTGGGAGTGTCCAGCATCTTAACCACCACACCACTTGCTTGTTCCCGAAATCACAGCTTTAATATTTATGTTATCTGGGGCTGGCTGGTGGTGTGGTGATTATGGGCACTAGACTCCCACATGGCCAACAATGATTTGAGTCCTGGATCTGGTGGCTTTCTCTCTCTGTCCCTCTCTGATCAAATTAAATAAAGTAAAATACTTCTTAAAAAGATTTATGTCATCCTGGGTGAGTTCGTTTTTTGTTTGTTTTATTTTTATTTTTGTTTTGCTATATAGGGCTTGTGGGCTCACCAGAGAGAGGCAGGTGAGAAATTACAGAAAGTGAGATGGCCATACCGCAATCCCTTCTCCATTCTTCTCTTGGTGATTTTGGGTGTGCGTGTGCACACACCCCTTCCCTCCCCCCAGCCTGAGTTTTAAGCTGCTGTGTCCAGGATTCAAACTGGGGTCGACTCTGCGGGAGTCCAGCAATGTAACTATCACACCATCTGCTGGTCCCTGGAATTACTGCCTTGAAAGGAAACACTTTCTAGGAGGTTGGGAGACCCCGGTGATAACCGAGTATGTAGAGCATCACATGCTAGCAAGCCCTGCACTTGGCAAGCACAGAATGCCAGGTGGTGCTTTAAGGTAGGTTCGTTCTTTCTTTCTTTTAAGAATTAGTCTATTTAACTTACTTTTTTAAATTTATTCATTCATTTATTTTAATTTGACAAGTGAGAGACACAGAGAGAAAGAGGGAAAGTGAGAAAGCAAGCCTCTAGGTCCGGTACTCAAACCATGGTCAGCCATGGAGGAGCATCCAGCACCTTTACCACCATGCCACCTGCTGGTCAATATTTACTTATTTTAATTTGGTCAGAGAGAGAGCAATAAAGTGAGAAAGCAAGCTGCCAGGTCCAGGACTTGAACCACAGTTGGCCATGTGGAATCCAGCACCCTTAACCATGACGCCACCTGCTGACCCCAAGGCAGGTTCTTATAGACGATACTAACTCAAGATTGTGGACCTTGGGGCCAGCAGATGGTGTAGTAGTTATGTTGTTGAACTCCCACACGACCAGCCACAGTTCGAGTCTGGACCTGGTGGCATCAAAATCACGACAATGGAGAAGGGGTTATGGTGTGGCCATATCTCTGGGGGGGGTGGTGGTGATTTCTCACCTTCCCTCTCTCTGTCTGTCTCTGGTGAGCACACCAAGAACCTGCCTGCTGCTTAATCGCAGGCTGCCCTCTGAAGTCTTATCACTGGGTGTATGAATTAACAGCCAAGGCATTAGAGCACTTCTCACTAGTAATGATTTGTCTTACTTTAGCTATTCAGTACACTTTTTTTGGGGGGGAGAAGTTTTTGCTATAGGGCTCGTGTGCTCACCAGAAAGACAGAGAGATAGACAGCAAGAAATCACCTCCCTGGGGGATGGCCATGCCTCAATCCCTTCTCCACTCTCGTCTTGTCAGGATCTTGGGCACACACACACCCAGTGTGAGTTCAAGCAAGCTACTGGGTTTAGGACTCAAACCGCGGTCAATACATAGGAGTCCAGTGACATAGGCATTACTCTAACTGCTGGTCCCGAATTATTTTAATTTTAAAATACATTTACTTTAATTTTGATGGGGTGGGAGTAACAAAGCAAGCCACCAGGTTCAGAACTCAAACTGATTGGCCGTATGGGAGTGTCCAGTGCCTTAACCCCCACGCTACCTGCTGGCCCCTCACTGAACTTTTAAAAATATAAATATATATTTCATTTATTTGTTTATTTAGAGAGATTTTTGCTATAGGGCGTATGCACTCACTGGAGAGACAGATAGCAGGAAATAACCTCCCAGGGGGAAGGGCCACACTGTGATCCCTTCTCCATTCTTCTCCTGGTATCTTGGGCATGAACGCCTGGTGTGAGTTTAAGCCACCAGGTCCAGAACTCGAACCATGTGGGAGTCCAGCAACATAACCACCATGCCATTTTTAAATTTATTATTTTGTTTGCTATGGTAAGCATGCATTCACCAAAGAGAGGCAAACAGAGAAAGAGCAAGAAGGAAAGTGAGAAAGCAATCCACCAGGTCTGGGACTTGAAGCATGGTTAGCCATGTGGGAGTCCAGCATCTTAATCACTGCACCACCTGCCAGCCCCTTACTTGTTTTAAGAGAGCTTTATGGTATAGGGCATATGTGCTTACTGGAGAGAGAGGGCGACAACGAGAAATATTCTCCCAAGGAGGTGGTCACACTACATTCCCTTCTCCATTCTCCTTTCAGCATTTTGGGCACACATGCATATTGGCCTGGCATGGGTTTCAAGCCACTGGGTCTTGGGACTCAAACCATAGTCAACTATGTGGAAGTCCAGCAACATAACCATTATGCCATCTGCTTGTCCCTATTTCATTTTATTAAGTTCACTATAGGGTATGTGTATTCACCAGAGAGAAAAAGAGGAAAGTGAGAAAGCAAGCTACCAGGTCTGGGACTCGAACTGTGGTTGGCCATGTGGGAATCTGGTGCCTAAAGTACCACACTATGTGTTGGCAGTGCACCTTAATTCAGTGGCTGAACTTTTCCTCCTGGGCATCTTAGCCTGTCCCTCCAGCTGGACGTCTTGCTCTCTTGGAGAAGTCTTAGCCATTCCTTTGTCTTCCAGAATGAGTGTGATGTGATGAGTTTGTTATCCTGTGTGCCTGCATCCACCCCGTCACACACACCCCTCTCAGTAGCTTGTAGCCTTTGACCAAACATTTTTGTTCACCTTAGAATACCCACTTGGGGGCTTGGTAGCACTGGTGGTGATTACGCATCAATGAATCCATGTGTTAACTGGGATGTACCCTCTCTTCTTAGAACACTCCCTGAGTCTGACTAGTGGCCTAGGGAGCTGTCAGTGAAGAGCATAGCAAAGGGCCATTACTTTATATGGCAGCAGGGTGGACTGTTGGTCTTACTGGTAGAAAAGACCAGACAACATCATCATCATTATTTTGGAGAGGTTTTTGCTATAGGGCGTGTGTGCTTGCCAGACAGAGCAGAAAGCAAGAAATCACCCCCAAGGGGGGATGGCCACGCCGTAATTCCTTCTCCATTCTCTCAGGATCTTGGGCACATATGCACACGCGTCCAGTGTGAATTTTAAGTCACTGGGTCCAGGACTCAAACCGCAGTCGACTACATGGGAGTCCAGCGACATAGCCATTATGCTAACTGCTGGTCCCACAACATTATTATTTTTAAATTTTTGCTATAAGGCAGAGAAAGAGTACATGCCACCAGCTCCAGGACTTGAATTTTCTACTAATGCCATCTTTGGTCCTTGTTTCTGCTTAAATGAATATGTCCCTTTACCTGGTGCTGATATTTAACAAGTACGGAATGTGAAAAGGGGGCAGGACTAGTTTAGGATTTGTGGCCTTACTACTTATTGCACGAATGAGAAATAAATGGTTTATGAGTAGATGGGATCCTCTTAGTTAATAATTACTGCTTCTCAGTGTGCCCCATTGTTAACTTGATCATGTGCTGCCTACTTAACAGATTTGTGTAGGGCTTGTGTCAAGGATTCTCAGGCTCACTGTCCTGTGTTTCTGGTGTTTGCACCTTGAATGTGGAACTGTAACTGTTACCTCTGCTACTCCAAAAAGATGAACTTGCTCAAGGTTTCCAAGCTAGTATCAGTCAAGATTTTAACCCAGGTGTGTCTGGCTCAAATCATTGTTTTCAAGCATTACTGTGTGGTGATGCTTCACGTTGAAGGTGTGAAGTGTCCTTTTCACTTCAGTGTAGGTAACTGGAAAACAGTTCATCAAAAAGTTAGAGGGCCAGCTCTAGCCTGGTGGCTAGGGAGCCAGATCCCATGTGGCCCAGCCAAGGTTCTAATGCCTTCTTTGTCTCTGTCTCTGAAAAGTGCATGTGGCCTCTAGCAGTTTTTTTTTTTAAAAAAGGTTAAACATAGACATATGCAATAAATATGAGTTGAATTTTAATTGCCCAGCTCTTAGACCTTCAAGAAATAATTTTTTAAAATTTTATTACTATTTTTTTTCTTAGAGAAATTTTGCTGTAGGGCATGTATGCTTGCCAGGGAGACCGAGAGTCTCCCAGGGGGGATGACCATGCTACAATCTCTTCTCCAGTCTCCCCTCAGGATTTTAGACACACACACACACACACACACACACACACACCCGGTGTGCATTTTTAAGCCACCAGGTCTGGGACTTGAACCGTGATTGACTACATGGGAGTCCAGCGATGTAACCATTATGCCATCTGCTGGTCCCAGTTTTTTTTTTTTAAGTTTTGCCATAGAGGGTGCCTGTGCTCACTGGAAAGAGACAGGGAAAGTGAGAGGTCCCCCCCCCACCCCACCCCCCAAAAAGGGGGGGGTGGCCATGCTGCATTCCCTACCTTTGCATTCTCCTCTTATTTTTGTCATGCACAAGCACCTGGTGTGATTTTTCAATATGCCAGGTCTAGGTCTCAAGCCATAGTTGGCCTTTCATGTTTTTGTTTTTGTTTCTTTAATATTTATTTATTTATTTCCATTTGTTATTGTTGGTTTTTTTTTTTTTTTCTTTTATTTGGGAGAGAGAGAGAGAGAAAGGGAAAGTGAGAGAGCAAGCCACCAGGTCCGGGACTTGAACCATACATAGTTGGCCATGTGGGAATCCAGCACCCCTATCCACCACACCACCTGCTGGCCCCTGGCCTTTCATGTTTTATGTCTTTTGCAAAAATGAACTTGTCTGCTTTTTCCTGTTTTGTCGCAAATAACTTCCACTTACACAGTTACAGACATAGAAATCACGTTCAGTGGTTGCAGAGGATTTCATTATTTGCATATGCAGGTATTGGGCAAGTTCCAAGTTTTTGCTCTATTAAAAGAATATACATGCTCTATATTAGAAAAGCGTGGGTAAGGTGGAATGGTCATGGTCTCTGGGACATAATTCAGTTGGAGCTCAAAGATTGTATATATGCACATTAGCAGTAACACATTTTATTTGGGTAAATTGTAGGTGAGCTAATTCTTTTTAAGTACAGATTTATGCTTGTAAGAAAATGCTGTCAGTTTTGACTTTAGTGTTTGTATTGTCTCTCACACTTGTTTTTAGAAAGTGAAAAGTTAATGAGTATACGTTCTGTCCAGGGGTTCAAACTGCTTTTATGGTAGCACTGAGACTTGCCAGACACATGATGACTGCTTTCCTCTTTTTCCCTTAGTGCATCCAGCAGTGGTAATTCGACAACGAAAGTCATACCGGAGAAAAGATGGCGTATTTCTTTATTTTGAAGATAATGCAGGGGTCATAGTAAACAATAAAGGTGAAATGAAAGGTAAGAAAGCAATCCAGGGACCAGTGTTGCAGCAGTAAAATGTGATGCCCTCTTCAGATGGTGCCGCGTGGGATGGCTCCTGGTCCAAATTGGAAGGCCTCCCTGAGTATATCTGACCAAGATCAGGGCTGGCATGTGATGAAAACAGGTGGCCTGTAGACACATGCAGAAACGCTTCTGTAAGCTACCCTAGCAGGGCTGTTAAGATCTACATATGAAAGCAGTATCTGCCTGCTGTCAATGGTTATCTTCCTGTTGTTGATACCCAATGCCCAAGATATAGTATCTGCCTAATCAGACTGTCCCCAAAAAAAGATCAGAGACATTTTATGGCACCAGTCATTTTCCTGTCCTAAGACGACTTACATAAAAAAACAACTGGCTTTGCATCCTGATTCCTCTTCCCCTCTTCTCTTTGCATTTCACTTCCTTCTTCCCCGTTCCCTTTGCATCCCATTTTCACATTCCCTAATTTTCTGCAACAATTAAAAAAGTAACGATTAATAGCAGACAAATACTGGTTTCATATGTAAATGTTTCTCAATAGCCCTATTAAAATAAATTATCAAAGCACATTTCTGGCAGGTGGCACTGTGGTTAAGGTGCTGGACACTTCCACATGGCTCACTGTGGTTCAAGTCCTGGACCTGGTGGCTGGCTTTCTCACTTTCTCTTTGTTTCTGGTCAAATTAAAATGAATGAATGAGTGAATAAAGTTAAATAATTCTTTTTTAAAAAAAATGCTTCTGTATGTGTCTAAAAGTCACGTAGTTTCAAACTGCTCTCCACAGTGGAGGGTTTAACATTACATCAGGACCATCTTGGATTTTTTTGTTTGTTTTGGTTGGTTTAGGTTTTTATTTTTGCCATAGGGTGTGTGTTCTCACCAAAGAGAGAGAAAGTGACCAGCAGTTGGCGTAATGGCTATGTCGCTGGACTCCCATGTAGTTGACCACAGTTCGAGTCCTAGACTCTGTGGCAAAGAAAGTGACTAGTCACTGGGAAGGGGGAGATGGACATGTCACAACCCTTCTCTATTCTCCTTGGGAACTCTGTACAGGCACACACATGTGCCTGGAGATTCTCATACCACAGGGTTTTCTGGGACTCAAACCACAGTTGGCCATGTGGAGTCCAGCACCCTAACCAAATCACACCCCCACCTTGGGAGTTTGTTTTCATTTTAATAGAGGTTTTTTGCCATGGGGAGTGGACACTCACCAGAGACAGAAAGCAAGAAATCATCCCCCAGGTGGCCTGGCCATCCTGCAGTCCCTTCTCCATTCTCCTCTCAGGATTTTGGGCATGCATGCACATGAGCCCAGTGTGAATTTTAAGCCACTGAGTCTGCGACTTAACCACTGTCAACTACATGGGAGACCATCAACTTAACCATTATGTCATCTATTGGGCCCCACCTTGGGAGATTTTAATCTCATTCATGGGACCAGTAAATTCACTTCAAGAAAAATAAGTTTATGGGGGCTGGCTCCATGGTCTGATGGTTAAGACAGCCAGGTCTCACATGGCTGACCATAAGATTGGAGTCCTGGATCTAATAGCTTGAGAAACACTGGACCTATGTATGTGCATGTCCAAATGCCTAAAAGGGACTGAAGAAAAAGGATCAGCTCCATGGCACAGCAGTAATGAAGTACTGAAAAGAGGCCTGAACACACATGGTGACCAGGTCCCCACATGATTAGCCTGACACCAGGGATGGGAGCCTAGTGCCTGAGGGCTCCTGGGCTGAAGAAGTGGATACAAGGGAATGCTGTGTGAGCAGGCCCTGGAGGTTTTTTGTTTTTAAGTTTGCTAGAGTACTCTGGATACTCTGCAGAGAGAGTGGAAGTGAAGTGGCACACCACAATCTCCTCCGCCGTGTTGGTACTCAAGCACACATGCCTGGTGTGTTTTTCCATCTGCCAGGTCTGGGACTCAACCTATGCAGTTGGTCATGTGGGATCTAGCCACCTTCACCACACCATTGGACCAGCCCTAATGAAAATGTAAAAGCTGTCCGTCCATATTGCTCCTTTGGTAGAGGAGGACAAGCAGGGGGCCTCTGATGTCCTAACCCATCCCTTAATTTTCTTCATGCAGGTTCTGCCATCACGGGACCAGTGGCAAAGGAGTGTGCAGATTTGTGGCCCAGGATTGCATCTAATGCTGGCAGCATCGCATGATTTTCCAGTGTGTTTGTAAAAAAAAAAACCCAAAACATTAAAAACTATTTGCTCCCAATGCTTGCCATCCTATTTATTTTCTCTGAATTATTTATTTTTAATTTTATGGTTAGATTTTTTAATTTGACCAGAGAGAGACATGGGGTGGGGGAGTGAGAAAGCAAGCCCCACCAGGTCTGGTACTCAGACTGCTGTTAGCAATGTGGGATTCCAGCACCTTAACCACCATGCTACCTGTTTGTCCCCATCCTGTTCATTTCTACAGTCTGACACTCTTCAACCATTGTCTTTTAAATTTAAACTGGTGTAAACTTTGAAGTTTCTGTAATAAAAAACTTGTGATTGCTATGTTTTCAATTTCTGTTGTAAAAAAAAAGTTACTGGTGGGACCAGCAGATGGCATAATGGCTATGTTGCTAGACTCCCATGTAGTTGACTGATTCAAGTCCTGGACCCAGGGGCTTAAACTCATGCTGGGCATGTGTGTGTGTGTGCCCAAGATCACGAGAAGAGAATGGAGGAGAAGGGATTGCAGTGTGTCCATCTCCCCTGGGGGGTGATTTCTCTCTCTGGTGACCACACATGCCCTATAGCAAAAATCACTTCCAAAAAATGTTACTAGGCTAGCTAGTGCTTAAGATTTAATACTCATTTTAATTCGACCAGAGTGGGGTGGTAGAGAAAGCAAGTTGTCAGGTCCAGAACTCAACTGCTTTCGGCCATGTGTAGCACCCTTAACCATCACGCCACCTGCCAGCCCCTGCCAACTGCAGTTTTGAGTCCCAGACCAAGTGGCTTGAAAAACCCTGCATACCCAAAATCCTGAGGAGACTAGAGAAGGGATCTTGCCATGGCCATCCCCTGTGTGGGGGGGTGACTCTCACTTTCCCTCTCTACCTTTGGTAGTAAGTATGCATATTCTATGGCAAAACCTATTGCTGTAAGAACTTAATCTGTGACAGTTTTGTTCTCATGGTGGAAAATGATTTTAAGTCAGTCCTGCAGGTTGACTTTTTTGAGATTTTTGCTATAGGGCATGTGTGGTCACCAAAGAGTTGAGATTAACAGGAATCACCCCACCCCCACCCCCCAGGGATGGCCACGCTGCAGTCTCTTCTCCATTCTCAGTATCAGGGGCATGCACACTCTGTTAAGTTGCCAGGTCTGAGATTCAAACTGTAGTCCACTGAGAGTCCAGCCATGTAAACATACCATCTGCTGGTCCCAGTACCTGTAGGTTTTTTATTGCTGTCAAATGACTAAGGCCAATGGGTGGAGGGTGCTTAAGGTGGCTGGATCCCACATGGGTGACTGCAGTCCAAATCCCAGACCCTGCAATGAAAATTTATACTGGCATGTGTGTACCTGCTCCAAAACACCTGAGAGGAAAAGGGATTGCATGGCCTACTTCCTCACTTTACTATTTCTGAGGAGGTCACACACCCTATAGCAAGACAAGGTATAAAGAAAATAATCTGTAGTTAAGCAGAGAAAAATCACTGTTCAGGTTTGCTGTATCCATTATACATCAAATTAATTGGAGGGAGGCCAGCAGGTGGCATGGTGAAGGGCACTGGACTCCCACATGGCCGACCACGATTCCAGTCCTGGACCTGGTGGCTTGCCTTCTCACTTTGTCTCCCTCTGGTCAAATTTAAGTAGACAAACAAAATTAAATAAATTATTTATTAAAAAATGAACTGGAGGATAGTTAAGTGTCCACCTGTTTGCTGTTTCAACAGGAGGATGAATGCTAGCTGGTAAAATGAATTGGAATGGAGAGGGGAGACAAGCTCTAATGGACTGGTTGGAAGGCAGGAGACTTGGATTCTGGTTCTGCCTCTACAGCTGACTGGATTTGAGAAACTCTTCTGAGCTTCAACTTAAAGTTCTAAAAGTCAATGGAAAAAAAAATAAAAATAATAATGGCAGGTGTGTGTTTGTGCCCAAAACAATTTCAAGAGAATGGAGAAGGGATTGTAGCATGGCTGTTCCCAGGCCATGTGGGAGTCCAGCTTCTTAGCCATACCACCAGCTGGCTCAAAAAAAAAAAAAAAAAAAAAAAACTTATTTAAAAAAAGATTAGAGGGATCAGCAGTTAGCGTAATGGCTATGTCGCTGGACTCCCATGTAGTCGACCTTGGTTTGGGTCCTGGACCCGGTGGCTTAAACTCACGCCAGGCCACGTGTGCATGCATGCCCAAGATCCTGAGGAGAATGGAGAAGGGGTTGAGACGTGGCCATTCCCCAAGGGGGGTGATTTCTCGCTTTCTATCTCTCTGGCGAGCGCATGAGCCCTATAGCAAAATAAACGAATAAACGAACAAGCAAATACATAAATAAAACAAAGCAAATACATAAATAAAAAACACACGCAGGGCTCCTGTGCGTGCGGGCCAAAGATCCTGAGAGGAGAATGGAGGAGAAGGGATTGCGACGTGGCCATCTCCGCTGGGGGGTGATTTCTCGCTTTCTGTCTCTCTGGCGGTTCTCCCTGAAGCAAGAACCTCTCCAAAAAAAAAAAAAAGATTAGACCAGGGATTAGAAGGTGGCATGGTGGTTAAGGCGCTGGACACTCCCATATGGATGATCACCACGCCACCTGCTGGCCCCAGAAGGGTTCTTGACACCACGTAATAATGCGCAGGGGAGCCCCATCTAGGCCTCTCACCTCCCACTGTAAGTGCTCTCCGAGGCTGCAGTGGTTGGGATGGCGCATTTTTGCGAGTGTCCTCTGCGACTGGAGAAGGGCTTTATCTTAGACGGGGTGGCCGTGAGTACCGTGGCCCGCTCCTATGAGCACCTGAGGCCCAAGCTATGGTCCGCCATTCCGTCCTACAACGCGCAGCTGGACTACCACGCCCGCCGGTACTTCCAGAGCCACGTGGTTCCGCCCATTTTGAGCAAAACTGATCAGGTATCCTTGCACCCAGGAGGGCCTCTCTTCCCACAGAAGCTGCCTTGCGGGCGGGGCTGACGTCTCTGTTTCTCACTTCCCCAAACCCTGGCGTCTCAGTCACCAAGGAAGTGGCCCACTATCCCCTGCTCAGTTTTATAAAAGAAACTCTAGAACCGAAGGGAGGAGGGTGACAGACGTTCAGAGCAAGTCCCCTGAAGTCACAGAATCACTTTCCACCCCCCCCCCAACTTGAAAATAGTGTTTCTGCAGGGCTAAAGCCGGTCTCTCCCAATCTAATTGGTTTCATTGTTCTTTGCGATGTCACAGACCCGCCCTTTGGGGTGACTTCACACCAGAAATTCTCTGAAAACGCGAAAGTCTACATGACCTCAGTAATCAAGACAAAGGGGAACTGTCTGGACTTAGGGAGGAGGCGCTTTCCGGCCTGTGACGTCATCGTTGCGGAGGAGTGGGGCGGGGGTTGGGGACCTTCCTCTCCCAGATCCTGTTGGAATCCTCCCTGGCCAAGTTCCTCTCAGGTCTCAAAGATCCTCATTCTTTTTTTGGATTCTTTTCTTTATTATTATTTTTTAACTTATTTTTGAATTATTTACTTATTTTGTTATTATTTTTTAAAATTTGACCAGAGGGAGAGAGAAAGGGAAAATGAGAAAGGAAACTGCCAGTCCTGGACTCGAACCGCAGTTGACCATGTGGAAATTCAGGGTTGGAATCCTCCCTGGCCAAGTTCCTCTCAGGGATCAAAGATCCTCACTCTTTTTTTGGATTCTTTTCTTTATTTTTATTTTTTAACTTTTTTTTTGAATTATTTACTTATTTTGTTATTATTTTTTAAAATTTGACCAGAGGGAGAGAGAAAGGGAAAATGAGAAAGGAAACTGCCAGTCCTGGACTCGAACCGCAGTTGACCATGTGGAAATTCAGGGCCTTTAACCGCCATACCACCTGCTGGCCCCTTACCCCTTACTTTTTTCAACTCTTTTTCCTCTACCACTGTGTTATGTATATATGGGTTGTGTTGGGAAGGGAAAGATGGGGTTACTTTGAACAAACCTTGCGTGTTTTGAGGTCCTAAGTGTTTGTGTGTGCACACATGTGTGCAGTGCATGTAGATGACGTGCCTCTGGGTGCCTACTCATGTAACTATGACAGGAAGAGCCAGAGTTTGTGGGGGGGAGGGGTCCAGAATTTAAAAACTTGGGGACTAGCAGGTAGCATGCTGGTTAAGACACTGAACATTCCCACATGATCGACCATGGGTCCAGTCCCTAACCTGGTGGCTTGCTTTCTCATTTTCCCTTTCTCTCTGTGTGTCTCTCTCTGGTCAAATTAAAATAAATGAATGAGTAAATAAAGTTAAATAATTATTTAAAAAAATAATTTAAAAGCTTGAGGGACCAGCAGGTGGCATGGTATTTGGGTCACTGAACTGCCTGCCACGTGGTTTGAGTCCCAGACCTGGTAGTTTCAAAATCATGGCAGGCAGGCCTGTGTGCTTGTATGCCCAAAATCTGGGGAGGAGAATGGAGGAGAAGGGATTGGCGAGGCCATATCCCCTAGGGGGGGGTATTTCTCACTTTCCTTCTCACTGTCACTGTCTGCCAGTGCATGGGCCCTATGACAAGAACCTAAAAAGGAAAAAAAAGGAGTTGAAAATAATACGACGTACACGTTTTTCAAAACCATCATGTTCAATTTCTTGTAAGATTTAATTATCAAAGCCATTCATATTTTCATTTAAATAAAGATAATGTGTATTGGGATCAGCAGTGGTGTGATGATTACATTGCTGGACTCCTACGAGGTCAACCACCGTTTGAGTCCCAGACCCAGCGGCTTAAAACTCATGTCAGACCATGTGCGTGTGTGTCCGAAATACCTAGAGGAGAGTGTAGAAGAAGGGATTGTGGCATCATCATTCTCTGTGGGATGTGATTTCTTAGTTTTTGTCTCTGGTGAGTGTATGCACCCTGTAAGAAAAAGTCTCTAAAAAAACAACAAAAAGAGGTTTATTAACTATGCCAGGCCCTCTTTCTGTTCTTTTTTTTTTTTTTTTAATCTTTTTTTTTTTTTTTTTTTTTATTTTTTTTTTTTGG